CCGCCTCGACGGCGGCCGCGAGGCGGCCGCGCGCGGCCGCGGCGCGGCCGCCGGGCAGCGCGCGAGCCGCGCGCTCGGCCATGAGGGTCGCAAGGCGCTCGTGGCCGCGCTCCGCGGCGGCCGCCGCGGGGGCGGTGCCGACCTGCAGACAAGGGGCGGGGTGAGGTGGGCGCACGCGATGGCGCTAAGCGTGGGTGCTGCGCCACAACAAAACTGAGGGCCCCCAGACGCGCTTTCCTAAGCATCATCTCTGGCCGGCCTGCAAGCGGGGGCCAAGCCTGCCGAAAGGCGACGCCCCAAGTGCTAGGGCAGGAGGATGCAAAGACCGGACTGCCTGCACAGCCCCACCTTGACCATGACGGGTGGCGCGTAGTCCGCGATCCAGACAGCCCGCGCGTAGTCGCCCGCCGCCGCCAGCCGAACGATCAAGTCCGCGTACCTGCGTGAGTGGGCGAGGAGGGGAAGAGGCGCAAGAGATTGCGCGGCTGTGAGGCAGGCCGAGGCGGGATGGGCACCGCTGCCGGATCCCTGGTCGCACGAGGCCACACCGACGAAGTTTCAATGTGCATGCATTTGCAGAAACGCATGCACGCTTGCACGACAAAAGTGTTCACGCAGGCACACAGGCGCGCAGGCAATCTATGCTGTCTCGCCCAAATACGAACACACACACACACACACACACACACTCACTCACACGCACACACACCAACCCATTCTTTTCTTCTCTTGCTGTCTGTTTTGAACCTAAGTACGCAAGCCCCTCACCAGCGCGCGTATACACAAACACACAAACGCGCGCACGCACAAACACGCACACACACACGCACGCACACACACAATCACACACACATTCCGCACCTCTCAGGCTCCGGCGGCCCCTGCACCAGCGCCTCCCATATGATGTCACCGGCCTCGCTGTGGCCATACGCCACTGCGCGCTCCATCGGGCCAGCAAGCATTCGGGTTGCATCCTCCCTGTACCGCGACGCCACCGCCGCGGCGACGGGGCGCAGCGTCGCGGCAGGCCAGCCGCGGGAGGCGCCGTCGAGGGCGGCAATCTGGGGCGGGGGTTGGCGGCGTTTGCGACAGCATGTCTTCAGCATGACGACGCCGCGAACAAGCCACACTGTGCTAGCCCATCCGTTGCTTTGATGTGGTAGTGAGGAGTCAGGGGTTCAAAGCGACTGTCTTCTAGGGGCGGCACCGTCCAAGGCAGGGGCCGAGGGGAGCTTCTTTAGGCCAGCGCACCTCCAGGGGCCGGCTGCTAATCCTTGGGTCCCTCAGTAGCGCCTCCACCGCCCCCACGTGCCCGCCCCGCCCCGCCAGGCACAGCGCCGCCGGCAGCTGCCGCGTCGCCGCCAGCTCGTCGAGCAGCTGCCCGGCAGCTGCCTCGACCGCGCTGATGTTGCCGCCCATGGCGGCCGCTGGCAGCAAGAAGGCGCCGAAAGCGGGCGGGTCCACGGCGGCGGCGTCCTGGGGCGCGAGGCCGTCGCGGACCAGCCTGTGCAAGGCAGATACCACCGAGCCGTCGCAGCCGCAGTGCGCCGCGAGCTCGTCCATCCCCGCCAGCGCCGCCGCCGCCGCGGCGCCGTCGGCTGCCGCAGACTCCGCGCCGGGGCCGCGGGCGTCGGCCGTGCAGGGGTCGCCGCGCGGCGCCGCGCGCAGCAGCAGCAGTTTGGCGGCGGCGTCGCCGCGGCTGGAGCGCAGCGCGGCTTGCGCGGCGAGGCGGATCACATCCGCCCTGCCCAACTGAGGGCTGGACTGCGCCGCATACGGCTCCCAGCCATCACACACGTTGCCACCGCTGCAGCTGCCACCATTGCCGCAGCCGCTGCCGATCTGACCGTCCGCCCGCCACAGCTGCTCGGCAGCTTCCTGCAGCAGCTGGTCGTGGCCGCCAAGGGCGAGGTATGGCAGCAGCAGCACGTGCGGGGAAGGGCACAGCAGGCGCAGCAGCCGCAGCGGGTCCTGCGCATGGCACATGCGGGGGGCATTTGTCGTGGCTATCAGCGTCAATGCTTGCCGGGTGACTGGAACGGGCGGCTGTTTTCTGACGATGGGGACGTGGCCCTGCGCACTACAACCCTGGACAGCACAGCCCCTCCGCACAGCCTCCTCCTCACCTGTCCGGATCGCAGCGATGCCCACGCGACGGCAACGGCCTCGGCGCTACAGTACCCGCTGCTTCCGCCGCCGCCGTCGATCTGGCTGATCGCGCTGTGTAACCGCAGCAATGTCGCAGCCAGCTCCCGCGCCGGCGCGCCGCGCAGCGGCCGGAACGTCAGCACGCGCCCCGCCGGCGGACGGCGCGGCGCGACGGCTGCGCCATGACGCGAGAGCCAGGACACGTGCAGCGCGCGCGAGCGCAAGAGTCCAGAGAGGTGGCGGCAGGCAGTGGCGAGCGGCAGAGGGTCGCGCAGGTGGCCGAGTATGTTGATGAGGGCTTCATCCGGCAGATCCAGCAGCAGCGGCAAACAATCCGCCACGTCTTGATGACTCTCCTCTTGCTGTTCGTCCTCGTGAGCGGGGACCCGCCCGCCCTGCGGCGCTGCTGCAGCGACGCTTGCTGCGCCTGTGGCAGGGATGGCGCTGCCGACAGCCGCGCTCGTGGCGTCGCCATCACTCCACGCCTCCGTAAGCATTCTATCTGCTTCAACTTCTTTCACTCAGAGTCGAAATCAACTCGATTGAGCGCCGTTGATGACATTGTACAGTATTCATGTAGAACGCAGGCTGCAGAATTTGGAGCTCATCGCCCCGCAATATCATAACCACTAGTGTACACTACCGGTACAGTAGTTGCACGTAAAGTACGGAGAATGTCACAAGCGTACATCAACGTCAGGATTTGGCTGCCACCCAACGTGGCAAGGCAGCACAGCAGGCAGACTGCCTGCAAGCTGCAACTGTGAAAATCTGGGGTAGACCACCACTGCAGCTGCAACCAGCGGAGGTCGCCGCCACCAAACGGACGAGACAAATCAAGCGGAATAGCAGGAGGGGGAGGGGGACAACGATGAAGACGTGATCCATGATGCCTATTATGCTCCCGGCACCACGACGGCATTGGTCGACCTGTAGAATGCCACCTCTGCTTGAAATTAAGGAAGTGCTAGCTGACCAGGCCAATGTCCCTTGACACTAACTAACAAGAGTTGGCGGGCGGTATGTGGCACATGAATTTACCGTGTTGTCCAGAGACAACTCAGGCGCCGCATCACCCACTGGCCGGCCTGCAAACCGTGCACGATCATTTGCTGATGCCCAAGCTCTTACTTTCAGCAGCAAAACCTACTTTCAACAATCGGCCTGCGATCCAGTCGCTCATGGACCACCTTCAGTGCCCCTTCAGCTGCCATCGTAACTGCTTCCAATGCTCTTGGCCAGATTTGAAGGTGTACATCACACTCAATACGATGGCTGTTACAAGTGACATTTTATAGTGGAATTCGCAGGATTCGCCGCATGGCGCCTACGGTGCGTTGAGGGCATGCCGCCTGTGAGCAAGAGGCAACGCTCATCCACTGAAGCCGATAGGATTCACAAAGTATTCTGTACTTCGTGTTCTACCGCAATGGAAGCCGGTCCCGGGCGCCAGCAGGGGTAAGAACAGCTCGGACTAGGCCTGTTGGGGGACCTGTCATATATCAGAATCGTGCAAGACGTCAAGTGTGTTGCCTTGATAGCACGGCGCCATGTCATGGGCTTGCCCGTGTTTGGGCAGTTTCGTGTGTCGCGATTGCAAAGCCTGGTGACAGGTTTGTGTTGAGAATCTTGGGAGTAACAGCATAAACGAGCTCTGTTCGGGCAACTTACGCTAGACAGGCACTGTGCCGCCACAGATTGCGACGTCTGCGCACATGTCATGCTGCGCACCTTCGCCATGTGGCGACAACCAAATCTGTGTGCGCTGTCTCGTTGACCACGCCTCCCACAATGCGCAGGGTCCTGAATGCAAGTAGGAGCATGCCTCCCCAGCGGCATGGCGTGGATCCTCAATGCCAGCCCTCGCATGAACAGCAGCAGCAGCAGGCGGAGCAGCATCACCAGGAGCAGCAGCAGCAGCAGCGCCGTCCCATACAGCGACACGACCCAGGCAGCACAAGCTCCAGTGCCAGCCGGCACCGCGAGCAGGACCAGGCCGTCCAATTCTCATCCACGGAGGACTTTGCGAGCCGGGTTGAGATCTACAGGGGACGCCACTCTGTGGTTTGGAACGTGGTGTGCCGCGCCACTCGGCGGCCGCTCATCCTCAAGGCGTACATGAAGGTGCGGTCAGCCGCGCGTTGCGAACCCCTGCCAGGCACGCGTACCAGCCCCACAGCAATGCTGCTGCCGCTGCTGCTGCTGCTGCTGCTGCTGCTGCTGCTGCCGCTGCCTCTGCCGCTACCGCTGCTGCTGCTGCTGCTGCTGCTGCTGCTGCTGCTGCTGCTGCTGATGCTGCTGCGGCTGCTGCTGCTGCTGCTGCCGTGGCAGCTGCCACCAATTCGTGCGGAAAATGTGTTGCACGCAGCCTGCGACGATCTCACCGAGTAGGGGCTGCAAGCCGGAGGTCCTGGGTTGCCCGGGCAGGCCGCGGGTGCACCAGGGGCTGCCAAGGCAGCCGCAACATTCCGTAGAGGGGCATCGGCCGGAGCGCACTCAATGCTTGCCCTGCCTCACCACACCATTGCGGCCCTCCTTTGCTCCATCCTGGGTGGCTTGAATTGCCACGCCCCAACACAGGCGAAAATGACAGAGCGCAATTTTCACCAAGTCTGCCGCGAGATCCGGCTGATGCGGCAGATTGACTACGAGGGGGCGGTCAAGCTGGAGGGCACCTTTGAGGACAGCGGTGCGATATACCTGGTGCAGGAGATCTGCGCTAAGGTGGGTGTGAGTACGTGTGTGGGGGTTGGGTACGCCGTGCGTGCGTGTGCGTGTGTGCCCGCGTGCATGTGTGTGTGAGTGTGTTTGCGCTCGTTTTACATGCGCACGCGTGTGTGTCAGAGTGTGTGCGCGTGTGTGTGCGTGTGTATGTTTGCAAAGATATTTGTTTATGCATGCATGTGTGTGTTAGTGTGTGTGTTTGTATGTGTCAGACAAGGAATAGAGTGACAAGCGCGGACAGAGGCTGACGTGTGCAAGGAGTAGGTCCAGCCAGCAGGGGTAGGGAATGCAACGCCATGCATGCGGCAGAACGGCATTGCCCAAAAAGAGGCACCGAAAAGATCTCCATGCCACCCATCCACGCGCCGGCCTCGCTCCCCGCGGCGCCGCCCACCCAGGGTGACCTTTTCAAAAAGCTGATCCGCAGCGGCGGCGTGCTGGAGGAGGCGTATGTAGCGGCCGAGGTCATCCTGCCGCTGCTGCTGACGCTGCAGCACCTGCACTCCGCCAGGATCTTCCACCGCGATATCAAGTCAGTCATGCTCTGGGGGGTGTCACATGCATGTGCCCCGTGCGCGTTGCAGCCTGGTGGAGGGAGCGGAGGGGGCGGCGCGGAGGAGGGGCGGACGCGAGGCAGCAAGGGGGTGCGCTGCTGATAGGTGCACGCGGCCGACGGAAGGGCGGGCGGCGCCGGTGCAGGGCGGTGCGCTGAGGCGCAAAAACGCGGTGCCCCAACACGGACGGGCCCCCTGCCCCTCGCGACGCCGCGCACCGACCGGCCGCCCTGCAGGCCCGAGAACATCTTCTTCATGAAGGACGGTCACATGAAGCTGGGGGACTTTGGCCTGGCCATCGACGCGACCGTGGAGCGCCCCAAGAGCCGCGTCGGCACGGTCAGCGTGGGCGCGGTTGCCAGCCACACGGGCGTGCGCTCGTCCCCCTGCGCCTCCGTGCGGCGCGCCTGCGCGCGGCCGTTGGCAGCATGAACGACACGTCCCAAACTGCCAGCACAGCACGTCCCTGCCAAGGCTCAGGAACGAGGCTTGACTGTTGCGTGGCAAGGCATTGTGTGTTTTGCTTGACCCGCCGTCCGCCCAGCTGCATGCACAAGCAAGCAGGCAACTGCTGCAGACAGCTCTTTGAGCGTTGCAAAACTGATTGTCGGCACCACCCTGCCACTCTGATTGTCGGCACCACCCTGCCACTCCGCTGATGTGGGTGCAGCTGGATTACATGGCTCCCGAGGTGGTTAGCCTTCCAACGGCTGACGAGCGGAAGCGCATGGAGCAGCAGGGGCGCCCCGCGGTGGAGCAGGTCTACACAGAGAAGGTGTGTGCGCGTGTGTGTGTGTGTGTGTTTGCGTGTGTTTGTGTGTGAGTGTATGTGCGCGCGCGCGTGTGTGTGTGTTTGTGTGTGTTTGCGTGTGTTTGCGTGTGTTTGTGTGTGTTTGTGTGTGAATGTATGTGAGCGCGCGTGCGTGTGTGTGTGTGTGTGTGCGTTTGTGTTTGTGTGTGTTTGTGTGTGTACCGGTATGTGTGTGTGTATGTGTTTGTGTTTGGGGGCCTGGGGGGGAGTCGTGTGTGTGAGTGACGTTTTGGGTGTGCACACAATGTTCAAGGTACACTTGACAAGCGTCGCTGACCTGGCAGACGTGCCACACCCCTCAAGTCAGTCGATCTGGCTATGCCGCATAGCCGCGCCCCTGGCCCCGACACGGCGCCCCCCTTCCCCCTTGCGCGCCCGCACATTCCGAAGGTGGACGTCTGGGCGGCCGGAATCCTGGCCTATGAGCTGCTGGTGGGCAAGCCGCCTTTCGAGGTGGACGACGAGCAGGAGACCAGGAAAGCCATCATGTACGAGACGACCCTCAACTTCCCCCCACACGTGAGCGCCGATGCGATCGGCTTTATCAAGGCCGCGCTCGCGAAGAACGCGGGCATGCGGCCCGACGCAGGGGAGCTACTGCGCCATGCGTGGCTGCGGCCGCACCTCGCCTCGGCGGCGGCGGCCGGCGGCGGCGCCGCGGCCATGGCGGCGGCCGCGGCGGCGGCGGCAGGCGCGGAGGGC